ATTGCTGGTCAGAGTTCATCCAAAAAGTCCGCTACTTCTATTAATAATTATATTTATAGTTTAAAATGATGATTATATATAAGACAGTTTTTCCATTATCGTTTTCTGCGTTTGATAGATTTAAAACGTATGTGTTACAAGTAAGTTTATTAGTTTATTGATATATTGTCAAATACTAAATCAAATGAATATTTAAGCAAAAAAAAAGTGTGTCAGACGCCGATGAGAAGGGCGCGGACGGATCCACGGAATCTCAAAATTTGATCTCCCATGTATATTCAATACTGCCGCGCAGCACTTCGCTCACAGTTGAGGACGAATATGATGCCATCGGTCGAAACATTGCGGCAAGACTAAGAAACATGAAGAGTGACTAACGCATTATAGCTGAGAAAATGATAAATGATATCATGTTCAAGGCGTTAGAAACTAATTGGGGGGGATCACACTCTATTAGAGTACCAATTTATATACCTAGTTTATAATACCCCAATCAATCGATAAACTCGATTGAAAGGGGGACCGGCCCGGAAAAAACTAGAAGATATGAGAGCGGATTCGAACTCGAGACCTCCGAGTTCGCAACCCCTGCACTCAGACCGCGGGACCACTGGGCCGGTCGATTGTCTTGTTTGCAATTTTAATACTTGATCTCAAAGAAGCCTAATCTAAAATATGATATAAATTTGTGTATTCTAGTTTATTAAGAAAAAAAAACGGCTCATACGTAATGATAAAACTATATTTCTCTCTACCTCCAAACTGTACTTACAGCATACATATATATATGTATATATATATATGTGTGTGTGTGTGTGTGTGTGTGTGTGTGTGTGTGTGTGTGCGTGTGCGTGTGTGTGTGTGTGTTCACATGTAAATTTACATGTGAGTTTTTGAATTGAAATTTCCGCAATATTTTAAAGTTAGTTCGAGGGGTATACGAGGTCTTTCATACGTGTGATGCAAGTATAGCATCACATTTATGAAAGACCTCGTATACTCTCTCTATGGTTTTAAGAATTGAAAATTTCAATTCAAAAACTCATGTGGAAATTTACATGTGAACACATATACGTCACGTTCGGAAACAACACTCGCGTACACACGAGCGTCATTCTATCTTTGTTTTATATATAATGAGCAATAAAGATAAAATATATACGAGTGATGTTTCCGAACGCAGCCATACATTAGCATAAAACGAAATTAAAATACAGATTATGTGTAATAATATATATTCATTTTTATGAAATATTGTATATTTTATTGTATATTTTTATATCTGAACACAAAAATAAAGGTTAGTTTTATCAAGAAATAGTATTCAATATAAATAAACTACTGAAATCATATGTGTATATAATTATTTTTATACATTATCAAATTGTTTCACCGCGCGCGATATTGTTTTTATATGACTAAACTCTTTTAATTTTGACATAAGCTTATTCAACTTTTGTACATATATTTGTTATAATCTTTTTTTTCTGTTTGATGTATAATGCATATTAAGATGTTTTATCATTATCAATAATATCATGCACTGTTTCCAAGATTTTTAATCCGGCCAGAGTTTGCAACACTGACTCAGTGTTCTTCTTCTTCTTTGCTTCTATGGCTCACGCCCCTGCGAGAGAGGAGCAAACGCCAGTCTACTGATATACATTCTCAGAACGAATCAATTGACTCAGTGTTCTTCTTCTTCTTCTTCGCACTTATGGCTCCGTGCCCCTTTAACTGTCTAGGCACCGGCCAGTCTTTGCTGTTGACTCAGTGTCTGCTCAGTGTCTAAAGACAGAGAGAAGTCTGAGAGCGGCCAGGTCCATAAGAGAATGTGTAATCACTTTTCCGCCCCGTAAACTAGCGCATGTCCACGGGTGGTACACATTGGAACTACGCAGCCAGTCCACGAGCGACACGTCGGTGCTCTATGTCCACAGCGTGCGGTTCTATTCTGTGCTATGTGCACGAGTTTAAATGGTCACTTTCTTTAAGTGTGTGAATATATTCGAGAGCGTGAATTTGATTTTTTTGAAATTTCAAATGACCGATCTCGTGATGAGAAGATGAGAAAGGAAAACAGAAAAGAATAAGAAAAACCATTGCAACTTTTCGTACAACATAAATGTGATATACCAGAAAAGATGTGATAGTCAAGAAAAGAATCTTATTTTAGCGAGCAACATCAGAATTCGTGGAG